AAAAAAAAAAGTTAGGCCACAGACTGCTTGCAATAGTGTAAGCCATGTAACTCTATCCCATTATAATTGTGCTGTGAGATGGGGTGACAGAGTGGCTACCTCTGGGAGCAGCTGACCGACCACCCTCAGACACAGCTCCATGGCATGTTATTATTTTGATGACATCATTTTGATAGTTTCCAGCCCATTATAAGTATAGACACTCCCATCAAGTGACCTGGAGCTGAATGGGTGTGAGAAGACCAAAATTATGCTAGACAGATGTCCAAGTGCTTGTTGTATATGCCAGCATGCTGAGTGAGCAAGTATGTGGGTGTGCAGCTTAGGGTGGCTTTTTTTGGGGGTGGTGCACTGGGAATTGAACTCAGGACCTTGTGCTTGCCAGGCAAGTGCTGTGCCACCGAGCTATCTCCCCAGCTCTCAGGGTGATTTTTGATTAGAAGATTCACAATGTATAAACACTACTTTGGAAGCGTTAGTATCCATCTCTTGTCAAGGATGAAATGAGAGGCAATGTGTTAACTTTTTAGTTTTTTGGTGCCAGGCATCACACCTGGGACCTTGTGCTTGTGCTTGCCAGGAAGGTGCTTGCGCCGCTGAGCTATCTCCTCAGCCTGGCACTGTGTGTTAGCTGACTGACCCTGAGGCATAAGTGCTCAAACAAGGAAGGCCTGCTCTACACTTTCCACCCAGGCCCATCAGGCAGACATTTGGGGTGATAGTTTGAAGAACACCTGCTCTGAACAGTGTTGGATGAGCACAGATTTTGGCCTCTTTGTTTCCTTCTCTGGGTCTGTTTTGATGCCTCAGCTTCTGGTAATCTGTCACCATCGCTTCCATGTTCTGTCTGTACAAAGACTAATGTCAGGACTTAGATATGTAGCAATTACAGATCTCTTTGTGTAGTGGCCACGTGCTAAAACAATCACTAGCACGTTTTCAGTAGAGGAAGGAAAGCTGTCGAAAGGGAAGAGATTGATAAGTTGAAGACCAAACAGAGGGGAAGACATTGGGTGGACAATGGGATAAAGCGGCTGATTCAGTTAATCCACTCAGGATGCAAATGGCCGCTCCAAATACACTTAGAATCTCTCACTTCTGGAGATACAAGAACACATAGGAGACGGGAAGAATTATAAGGCGGCAAGTCCTTTTAGCTCTGTACTACACTTTGCATGAAAATGACTTTTGCTTATGAAGCCTACAGTGCATGTGATTCCCTTTATTTTTTT